TGATGGAGGACCCCTGGGGTCAATCTAGGGGGCTAGAAGCAACTGGAGCTGAAAGTGAGGCGGCCAGAGGAGGCCAGGCACAGAGATCCTGAGGGAAGCCAGAGTCTGGGGAAGGCGATTCTCTTAGTGTGTGATTGACAATGTGACCTGATAGACATTGGGCTCCAAGTTACAAAAACCAAGCCATGACAGGTATGTGAGTGTCCTGGAGAAAGACAGAGTCGAGGTGGACAGCTGGTGGGGAGGAGTGCTGTCAGCACGAAGACAGTAAAGACAAATGGGAAGATCCTCCCAGGTAGCATAAAGGTCATTTGCAAAGGCCCTGGGAGTGCTGAGACCAGGGCGTGTTCCTGGAGCTGTAAGAGGGGTATAGAAAGGAGAGGTGGGCCTGCAGGACAGGGCGTCATAGTCAGCAGTGGGCTGATTTGGCTGTCATCCCAAAGGCAGTGGGACGCCATCAAAAGTTTTAAGGTGGAAATGCATCTTACAAGCTGCTTTGGGAAGGGTGAATAGGTGAACTGGTGAATCAAGTGGAGAGCCCAGTGGTGGCCCTGCCCAGGGCAGAGTGTGGGCTGGCTGGATTGACCTGGCCTCTGCCTACAGGCCCTACTTCACCTACTGGCTGACCTTCGTCCACATCATCATCACGCTGCTGGTGATCTGCACCTACGGCATTGCGCCCGTGGGCTTTGCCCAACACGTCACCACCCAGCTGGTGAGTCGGGCTCCTCCCTGGGGTCCCAGCTTTCCTGAGGCTTCAGCGCAGCGGGCACCAAATCTGTCCTTCCAGAAGATCCCGGCCCAGGCAGGAAGTGCTCAGGCTCACCAGAGCTTGGCCCCTTCCCAGAGGCTGGACCCCGGGGACACTGGCCCACTCCTCACCCTTCCTGCCAGCCCCGGGCTCTTGCTCTTCTGACGACCCCTTCACCCTGCGCTTCTACGACAGGTGCTGAGGAACAAGGGTGTGTACGAGAGCGTGAAATACATCCAGCAGGAGAACTTCTGGGTCGGGCCCAGCTCGGTGAGAGTCCAGCCTGGGGTGGGGCCATCTGAGTAGGAAGCCCTATGTCCTGCCAGCCCCAGGTGCTCACCCACCTCGTGGCCCCCTCATCAGGGGAGACTCTGAATGGAGTGGCGGTGCAGTGACAGGCCCCTCCTCTGGGGCCCATGTCACCAGCCGCCCTTCTCCACCTGCAGATTGACCTGATTCACCTGGGAGCCAAGTTCTCGCCCTGCATCCGGAAGGACCGGCAGATCGAGCAGCTGGTGCTGCGGGAGCGAGACCTGGAGCGGGACTCGGGCTGCTGTGTCCAGAACGACCATTCGGGCTGCATCCAGACCCAGAGGAAGGACTGCTCGGTGGGGCAGCCCTCTGACCCCTGCCAGCCCCACTGTGGTTCTGTACCACTCTGCTCACCCTGGCCTGGGGCAGGGGCCCTTTAAGGGCAGTGACCGCATTCCCTCCTTCCTGTCCTCCACCCTCACCAGTCCTGTACCCCGCAAGCACTCTGCCAGCACAGAGGCACCCCAGCCTGAGAGGCGAAGCCAGATCTCAGGAGGGCTGGCAAGGGGTGGGGTCTGGGAGGTGTGCCTGAGCCCTGGGGAAATGGAAAAGCCCCTGTTCTGGAAGGTTCCCCGGGCACACGAATGAGGTGACCTTTGCAGCATCATGACCAGAGCTCCACCCTCCAGGAGACTTTGGCCACTTTTGTCAAGTGGCAGGATGATACTGGGCCCCCCATGGACAAGTCTGATCTGGGCCAGAAACGGACGTCAGGAGCCGTATGCCACCAGGACCCCAGGTACAGCCTGGAACCACCCACGGGTCCAGAGTGGCCCACAGCTAGGCTGTCTGAGCTTCCTGCTGGGACGCTGGTTAGTGGACCTGGCTGGTTCCCAGCCCCTCATCCTGCCCAATCTGGCCTCTGCTTCCAGGACCTGTGAGGAGCCAGCCTCCAGTGGTGCCCACATCTGGCCCGATGACATCACCTTGTGGCCAGTGAGCATCGCTGGGCAGCAGGGGGTCTGGGAAGGGCTGGGGTAGGCGCCCGTCGCTCAGCCCGCACCCTGTTGGTCCTGCTTTGCAGATCTGCACTGAGCAGGCCAGGAGCAACCACACGGGCTTCCTGCACATAGACTGCCAGATCAAGGGCCGCCCCTGCTGCATCGGCACCAAGGGCAGGTGAGCCGCCTGCCTGGAGCTGCTCTGGGGCCACCCGCGTGCAAGCAGGAGGAAGGGGAGATGCTCGAGGGCTGAGTCCTCACTCCCTGCCTGCTGTGGCCAGCGCTGGGGTTCTGCAGGAACCCCAGATATCCTGATATCTTGCTCTTTTTTTCCGGTCCCCGCAGCTGTGAGATCACCACTCGAGAGTACTGTGAGTTCATGCACGGCTATTTTCACGAAGAGGCAACACTCTGTTCCCAGGTGGAGTGAGGCCTTGCAGGGAGGCCCTGGACTGGGAACAAGGGCTGGGCTCACGTGCTCTTTCCTGCATGGGGGCCTCAGACTCAGCCTGACCCCCATGCGCCCCCACCCCAGGTGCACTGCTTGGACAAGGTGTGTGGGCTGCTGCCCTTCCTCAACCCTGAGGTCCCAGATCAGTTCTACAGGCTCTGGCTGTCTCTGTTCCTACACGCTGGGTAAGAGGTTCCTGCCCGCTCCCCACCACGACCTCTGTGAGGGCCGCCCGCCTGCCCCCCAGGGAAAGGGCTCGGGAGCCAGGGCACAGCCAGCCAGCCTGTCGGAGCCGCTGCTCCTGATGCGCACGGCAGCTGTGGCCGACGTGGAATGCTGATGCCTGGTGTGTCCCCGCCCCCAGGGTGGTGCACTGCCTTGTGTCTGTGATCTTCCAAATGACCATCCTGCGGGACCTGGAGAAGCTGGCTGGCTGGCACCGCATCTCCATCATCTTCATCCTCAGCGGCATCACGGGCAACCTCGCCAGCGCCATCTTCCTCCCGTACCGGGCAGAGGTGGGGACTCGGAGGACAAGGACAGGGAGGGTGGGATAAGGTCCCTTTCTAGAGCCCAAAACTTGTGACATGTGGCAGCCAGCCCTGCTGCTCTGTGCCCCACCCACCTGGGATCTGCTGGAGGACACAGGGTTCCTCCTGTGCCAGGCTCAACAGCAGATGGACAGCTAAGCTGGGGGCTTATTGACAGTCTTTTAATCCAGGAGAGGGAACTGTGATACCCTTGAGTCACCAGGTACCCCAGCCCCTCCCTGCTCAGCTGTCGCCTCCCGAAAGGCCTTCCTGAGCCGCCATCCTCCACCCGCTCCCTCTTCTCTGATTCATTTCCCCTCTACCTTGACCCTGCTGGCTGGTGTTCGAAGGACCCCCAGACCGAGCCGTTGGAGATCTCCACGGTGGCTGCTCTTGGCCTGCAGACCTGGCAGCCTCATGATCTCTCAGGCCTGACTGTTCACTCTTCTATCACCTCCCCATTGCCTGTCCCTCCCCACTGTGTGCAGGCTTGTCGGGCTCACTGCACAGGTCCACACCTGGCAGGAACACAGTAGGCGCCCAGTGTTTGCTAAAAGGTGAAAGTGGTCCATCAGCTCCAGCCGTGTCCCTGCCTGGGAGGTGGGTCCCAGGGCTGCGCTCCCTGCCTGGCACCGGGGTGAGCCGTCCTGCTCCCTGCCCCAGGTGGGCCCGGCTGGGTCACAGTTCGGCCTCCTCGCCTGCCTCTTCGTGGAGCTCTTCCAGAGCTGGCAGCTGCTGGAGCGGCCCTGGAAGGCCTTCCTCAACCTGTCGGCCATCGTGCTCTTCCTGTTCATCTGCGGCCTCCTGCCCTGGATCGACAACATCGCCCACATCTTCGGCTTCCTCAGCGGCATGCTGCTGGCCTTTGCCTTCCTGCCCTACATCACCTTCGGCACCAGCGACAAGTACCGCAAGCGGGCGCTCATCCTGGTCTCGCTGCTGGTCTTCGCCGGCCTCTTCGCCTCCCTGGTGCTCTGGCTCTACATCTACCCCATCAACTGGCCCTGGATCGAGCACCTCACCTGCTTCCCCTTCACCAGCCGCTTCTGTGAGAAGTACGAGCTGGACCAGGTGCTGCACTGACCCCAGCCCAGCCGGGTGCACCTGCCACCCTCTGGGAACTGACAACAAGGGGCTATGCCCGCGGAGCATTGGGGTCACAAGGGGCTGGGCCCCTGCCTGCGGAGCATTGGGGTCACTGGGCCCGGGGCCCACTCCACCTGTCAAGGTGACTCTGACATTCGGCAAAGGTGAGCTCCCCGGGAGGGAGACCCTCATTTCTCAGGCCTGTGTTCTTGGTCGGGGGTTAGGGACGCCCAGGACACCTGTTTCTCTGAGGCACGGGCCCTGGCCTCCTCCCCACTCCCTGCTGTAGGGACCATCTACGTGCTTCCCCCCGGGGCCCAGGGCCTTCTCCCCATAGTCAGTGTGAGGGCGCCCTCCCTGGACACATGGCTGCTCCCTGTCGTCCCCAGGATGGGGACCCCACCACAGCCCCCCTTCCTGTTTCTCCTCCCCTCTGTGCCCTGAGCCCACCTGAGCCTGTCATAGGCTCCCGGGGAGGGAGGGTCGGTCTGTTGTGTGGGGCAGAGAACCAGAAGCAGACACAAGTAGAGGGCCCGGAGCCTTGGCTTGTCCTCAGCCACAGGCTGGATGCCCAGCCACCCCCACTCCAGCATCCTGCCCTGCAGTTGGCTCTGCTGCCTCTGCCTCACTCCTGGTGGGGGGGACTGAGCCGCCACAAAGTCTTCCTCCCGGGGAGGGTGGGGGCACCTGGGCTTGCTCAGGCCTGTTTTTTGTTTGTTTGTTTTGTTTTGTTTTGTTTTTTACCAGTTTTATTATGGTCCTAATTTTAAAAAGTAACGCTAACTTTGTATGGATATGTCTCAAATGTATTAAATGAAACTCTTTATGGAAGTATTTTCTTAACTGAGACCTCAGGGAGAATGAAATCTGGGACTTGGGGGTGAGAGCATCAGCCATGAGCTATGCAGAGCAGTGGCTTGACCCAAGGGACATAGGGAACTCGTGGGACATCTCGGGATTTAGTTTCCAAAATCCAGATCAGGGTCACACAGAAGGCCTTAGTGGGGCCCCCGTGAGGACTGGATTGCATCCTTAGACCCCAGGGGTCCCCACACCAGCCTGCTCTGCCTCTGATCCAGGGTCGTGAGGGACTTTCTGTGCTGAGGGTGGCTTGCTCCGGCAGAAGCAGCCCTGGGAGATGGCCAGACACTTGTTCATCACTCCAAGCAGGAGACAGGTCCATTCACTGTGCCTATTCCACAGCCACAGCCTGCACACCACACCAAAAAGCCACCAGGGAGGCAGGGGACATAACTGCTTTATTACTTGGAGCAGAGGAGCCAGTGCAGGGGCTGGTGGGTGGCTAAGGAGAGGAGAGAAGCCTGGGAAAGAAGTTGGGGCACAGGATGCCCAAGGACTGGGTGGGCAGTGGCCCCTGTGGGCTTTACTTCTAGCTACCCCCACTCCAGGGGTGGAGGGCAAGAAGGGGTATCTACGAGGCTGGGGAGAATAAGGACCCCAAGCATCAGGGTGCCTCACCGAGACAGGAAACGTGGCTGGGACCCGAGAACACCTCCCAGCATTCTCATTTACCAGCCCACTCTCATCTTGAGCCTTGGGCACAGGTTTGGAATGCAAAAGTTCTGGAGGGTCTCATGAGGACACAGCATTCCCTGCTCTGAGCAGCTGGGACCTGGGTGAATCCATCTCTGCTCCTCTGGCCTCTCCCCTGCACGCTGAGTTTGGGAATCACAGTCTCCCTTTATACTCGGTCAGCCTGGGGTGGGCCCCGGGCAGAGAAGGGGACCCGGGGACTGAGCGAGCCCCCCCAACCTGCTCCCACATCTCCTGCAGCCAGGGGGCAGCCCACTCAGCAGCCGCTGTTCCTGCGCAGGAAGGCCTGGCCCCGCAGGGAGCACTGCAGCTCCGTGAAAGTGAGGGAGCCCACGGTGATGGCGCACGGGCCTACAGCCTGGAAGCCAAACTTCTCGTAGAAGGGCACCAGGGCCTCCTCGCACATGAGCACGGCCCTGCGCACTGCCCGTTGACCGCCCAGGTGGTGCAGGTAGCGCCACAGCAGGATGGAGCCCTTGCCCTGCTGCCGGAAGGTGTGGTGCACGGCCAGCACGTGCAGGTGGGCTACATGCCCCCCAGGCCTGTGCAGCCTCAGCGACTCCTGGGGGTGAGCAGGGGTCAGGAGTCCACATCACCTCTGCAGCCAGCTCCTCCCCCCAAAACCAACATAGGCCAAGAGCAGGTGTCCCCTGAATGCCTCTGGTCAGGGTTTCCTTCCCACCCAGGAAGGCCCCCAAGTTGGGAGCTACACCCCAGGCCCCATAGAGGACAATTCAGAGGTCCTTTGGGGCCCCAAAGAGCTGGGCTGGGTGCTCTTCTCTCTGGAGAGGTCTGTGGCTTGTACTCCTCTCTGGTTCTGGAAGGAGAAAGTCCCACCCTGGCCAACCTCTATTCCAGAACCTTCTGGAAGCTGGACATCATAGCTTGTCCCATCCTCACCTGAGTGAGTCTCTCCTCGTCCCAAAGTGAGCCAATGATGAAGGCCACAAGGCGGCCCTCTTCAAACCAGCCCAGGGACAGCTCTGGACACAGGGTCAGGAAGTGCCGGATCTCTTCCAGGTACAGGGGGCAGATGCCCGAGACAGAGATAAAGGCTGCGGCAGGAGGCACAGGTGGGTGACTTGGTGTTCACTATACCACTTGCCCACTGTCCGCCACACCCCAGTGGTCACTGTGCACCCCAAGAAAGCAGGCGCCTGAGGGCTGTGTTTCCCCCACTCTCTGGAGTGCACACACACACACACAGTCTGATCCTCTGGGCTGCAGCCCACAAGGGCAGAGATGCGGGAGAAGACAGCCGGGCAGCTTAGCATGCCCACCCAGACCTCACGCTGGACTGCTCACCTTCGCGCTCAATCTCAAACACACTGACTGCGTCCTCCAGCGTGAGGCAGCGGAACTCGCTCGCGGGGAGTGTGTGTCGCCGCTGGCAGCTTGGGGACTCTGAGGCCCCAGGTGGCAGGCTCAGGGCCTCAGGTTTCAGGTGGCAGATGCGCTGCATGGACATCCTGGCTGCTGGCATGTCCCTGGATTGCCCCAGCTTCAGAAGTGGCCACCACAGGTGAGAAGGGTCTCCTGGTATCAGGAAAGAGCGAGGGTTGGGGGTCTGGTCCTCATCTCCAAGGAGCAGCTCAGAGAGTCCGTGCCTCTGGCCTCTTTTGTAGCTGGACTCAGGTGGAGCCAGTCCCACAAATGACTGGCTCCTTCCTCAGGTGCCTGGCCCTGGAGCCGATTCCAGGAACTGCAAACATTTCTCTCTCTACATCCTCTCGCAACCAGAGTGCACTCCTCACAGTCCCTCCGAACCTCTGGACTCTGGTCTCACTGCCCTCCGGGTGCATCTGAGCCTCAGGAGACCATGGGAGGGATGGGCAGGGCTCAAAGGAGTCCCCAACATTGCTGGCCATGGGAGTGGGGGTGGGGAGGCACATGATCGCCTGGGACCACTTCTGCAACTGTGGGCTGCGTGGGTGTCCCCTTCTCCCACGCTGCAATTCGCTAAGCTTGTCTTACCTGCCCAGATGGAGATCGCTGGTCCGTGGGGGTGAGATCGTGATACTAGTGTTTTAGGCGGCCTCAGCCTTCAGTCCTGGAAGAAGACCCCTTCATCAAAACAGGCCCTTAGGGAGCCCCACATTTACCCAGATGGCCTTAGACTTGACCAGCCCACAAAGAAATGGGGAATATGGCTGGTTAGAGGGAGACAGGGGCTGCAGAGGGGCAAGGGGGGATGAGCAGGCATGGATGGTGCACAGGATGCCTCCTGCCCCACCCCCTGCTCACTGAACATGCTCATGTGGGACCTTGCCTTCCTCCCATGACACCCAGCAGATTTGCAGTTTGTAGCGGAACCCATCTTTTCCCTGCAATGACGCTTAAAAAGCCCATGGCTGAGAGACGGCGGCAGGAGGCCCACTTACCAAGACTGGGCAGGGGCCCCAGCATCCCCTCCACAGAGCCGGTCACCTGGGGCCCATCCACAGGCACAGGCACCAGGAGAATCCAGGACTCCTGGTGGCAAGACAGTGGCAGCAGGTGTCCTCCGGGCAGCATGTGATGTTCTCAGAGGTTTCTAATCCCCCCAACCCCGCCTTCCGCATTACACCAGGCAGGAGATGCCTGAAGGGCCCGGCTGCTTCAGGTTGGCCCTGCTGAGAGCAAGCGTCAGCACTGGCGTGGGGGATGCAGAGGATTACCAGCAGCCAACTGCGCCCTGGGGTTTGGGAAGAGCATGGGGCTGAGTCCCGGGGTCCAACTCTAATCCCCGCTCTGACCCCACTATCTAGACACGGCATTCACCCTCCGCTGGCCTCCGCCTCCGAGGATCCTTCCTGGTCTGGCAGCTTGTGGGCTGTGCTACCATTTATAGTACCACTCGGGGCTGGGCCCTGGGTAAACAGCTCCTGCAAAACACATGCAGCCCCGCCAGGTGAGCGTCAACCCCATCTTCTAGAGAGGGAAACTCTAGAGTGGGCCCAGTCCCACTCCTTCGTGGGCCAGACTGAAGCCTGAAAGCAGGAAGGTTCCCAGAGGCACTTTGCATAAAGCTTCCCAACTGGAAACAACCTAAATACCCGTCAGTTGAAGAAAACACTACGAACAGGCAACATGTACAGATGTCCCACCCTGTGCCACCAAGGACACCAGCACATGGAGAGGAGCCACAGGGGTGATGCCAGGATGGAGACCCACCCACACATTAGGACCAGGATGGCGTCCACACAGGGGGATCCTGGTAAAGCTACTTAAATAGTCTGGGGATTGCTCTATCCCACATCTTGACTCCAAAACTCTCTGACAGCCCTTGACCTTGGCTCTGCCTGCTCAGCCAGCACCTGGGGCTAGCTTCCCTCTGGAATCCAGGCCCCTCTCTCTGCCCCTCACACCCCATCCTGCCTCCCTTCTCTGCCAGTGGCTGCCCCTGTCCCTCCTGCCATCAGCACCCCTGCCCACCCCAGGCTCCCTAGGGCCCAGAGCTCCGGCTACCCACCACAGAGGGCACCCCTTCTTTACCCAGGATCCTGGGGAGGGACTGAGGTGCCAACCCTGCTTGGCACAGACTCAGACACCCCTTCCCACCCACCAGGTGCACTTTTTCTGTCTGAGGGGCCTCTTCTCCCTGGGCCACTCCTGTCAGTCCCACCAGAAGCACCCCCACCTCACCGGCCCCAGGCACTGCTGGAGCTCCTCATGCGGTCCACAGCCTGCTACCTGGTCACTTCCAGCTTTCCCCTGCGGGGAATCCTCAGACTTCTTAGGTTGACCAGAGACCTCCTCAGACTTGGCCTTTGGGCCTGGCAGGGCAAACACTCAGGACCTCAATTGGGCACCCCAACTCTAACCCCAGGGTCCCCCAAAAGGCCTTTGTCCCTTGTTAGTCTCCAGCTCCATCGCGCCCCCTGGTGGCTAATTGCAACCAGTTGGAGATGCCTCGGGTCCCCGCATCCCTTCCCACAGACCACCCCGCGGCCCATTCTCTCTGGTAAACACCTCCAAACACGTGGAACCTCAGAGAACAAGATTAGGCATGATCTTTTCTTTTTTTGGGGGGGGAGGCATCAGGGATTGAACTCAGGGCACTCAACCACTGAGCCACATCCCCAGCCCTGTTTTGTATTTTACTTAGAGACAGCGTCTCAGTGCTTAGGGCCTCGCCATTGCTGGTTTTGAACTCACCATCCTCCTGCCTCAGCCTCCCCAGCTGCTGGGACTATAGGCGTGCGCCACTGAGCCTGGCGAGGCAGGATTTTAAACGTGGTTAAGCTGGGAAATCCAAGCTCACAAGGGGCGGGAGAGGGGAGGAGAGGGCAGGGGACGGGGCCTCCTGGTCAACAGGAAGAAAACACTGGCACTGACAATGAGGAGGAAGTGAGCATGGCCACGGGTGATGAATACAAAGATCAGGGTGCTGTGAAGCATGGGATCTAAGAAATCTCCTTATCAAGATGACGGCGGTCACCTCTAGCCACTTTAGCCACCCAACCATGTCCCAACGCTGGGGGGCCCTCCCCACGAGGGATTGTGACCGGAATCATTGGACCCACGGAGATACTCTCTGAGCAGAACTGCTGGATTCAGAAAATAAAAGTGCAGATGCCCAGTGAAATGTGAATTCCAAATAAGTAATGAACAATCCTTTTAAGTAGAAGTCTGTCCATGCGATGTTGGGAGCATGATTGAAACGATGAAATTACCGTTTATCTAAAGGACAAGTTCCGCAGGGTTTGTAAAACAAACCAAGAGCCACCTGACTGAAACTGAGCAAGTCATGTGGGGATCCCCAGAGTGCCCTGCCGGGGCGAGAGGGGAGACAGTGTGGATGCCAAAAGGGACCCCTGGAAAACAGTAGGATTCCACAGAGGGGCAGACCCCCTCCAGCACCTATACCTGCATCCCCCGGGACCCACCCCTTGCTAGCCAGGGATCTGACTCTTGAACCTTCTCTTCCTGCCTGGGGCTGCCTAGAGGGGGGGTTCCAAGGCTCTGCCCAGGCTCAGGGGGCCAGAGAAAAGTGACATTCCTATAGTGAAACCCGATAGGCTAGGATACCCAGGGTTTCTGCTCTTCATGCCTCACCCCCGCACCCGACTTCAACCTGTGACTGGCAGGCTTCCCTCCTGATATGGTCTGGATAGGGTTTGGGTATGCCCCCCAAAAGATTCATCTGTTGGAACTTGGTCCTCACTGCAGTAGTGTTGGGAGGCAGTGGGACCTTTAAAAGGTGGGTCCTAGTGGAAAGTAATTAAGTCACTGAAGGCACTGCCCTCAGAAGGAATTGATGTAGTTCTCCTAGGACCCTGTTTGTTCTCCTCAGAGAGTTGCAACAGAAGCTCATGCCTGGCCCCTCCCTAGTCTCTTTCTGGCTTGCTTTCTCACCGTAGCATCTCTCATCTCACATATGCCCCCAACATGATGTTATGCTGTCCACAATGTCCTCAACAGAGGACACCCAATCTTGGACTTTCAATCTCCAAAATTGTGAGCCAAATAAACCTCTTTATACAGTAATTAACCTCAGGCATTTTGTTACAGCAATGGGACATGAACTAATAATACACCCACCACCTGCTCTAAACCACTCTTGTGAGAGTCTCCAGTGGAAAAATCCAGTGGATAAATCATGATGCTCCACTTCACTAGGGAGAAATGCCATGGGAAACAATTCAGTGACTCCCTCCAACTGGGAGTGAAAGAGGAAGCTGTTAATAACTACACAGAGGTGCTTGTAAAAACGGAACTGTCCTGTACAAGCACCCCATTCTGTAGGGCTTTGGGCACTGCTGACCATTCCTCCCTCTTGTAACTCCCTTCTTTCCTGGTTCTCCTTATCCAACTTCTTCCGGATTCCTCTTCTGTCTATCTGTTTAAAGTTAGTGTCCCCAGCCAGGCTTGGTAGTGCACGTCTGGAATACCAGAGACTCACAAGCTTGAGGGAGGAGGATCACAAGTACAAGGCCACCCTGGGCAACTTTGGTAAGGCCCTGCTTAAAAAAAAAAAAAAAGGCCTGGAGATGTAGCTCAGTGGTAAAACATCTGTGAGCTCAATCCCCAGTACTCCCCACAAAGTTAATGTCCCCAGAGTACAGAGGACCCTTAGGGCATGAAAACACTACGTATGATACTATAATGGTGGACACGTGTCATTATGTTTTGTCCCACTCAGTGGAAAGAACAACACCAAGAGTGAAGGCTGATATAAGCTGTTCCCTTTGGGTGGTGCTGTGGCACTGTTCATAGATGGTAATAAATAAACCACTCTGGTGGGGCTGTTGATAGTGGGGTGGTCTACAAGGGAGCAGGTAGTATTCAGGAAATCTATGGACCTTCCTTTCAAATTGCTAGGAACCTAAAACTGACTTAAATAATAGAATCCATTTTTTAAAAAGTCGACATCTCTGGGTGTGGTGGTGTACGCTTGTAATCCCAGCAACTTGGGAAGTTGAGGCAGGAGGATCCCAAGTTCAAGGCCAGCCTGGGAAACTAGATGAGACCCTGCCTCAAAATAAAAAATAAAGAAGGGCTGAGGATGTAGCTCAATGGTAGAGCATCCCTGGGGTCAGTCATCAGTACTAAATAAATAAGTAAATATTAAAAAGTCAGTGTCCCTTTCAGGGATGTGTGGATAAGCCAGCCATGGTAGATGCAGCCAATGGGCTGTCACTCAGCCATTAGGGGGGAGTGAAGTCTGATATAAGCTACAACTTGGATGAGCCTGGGAAATAAAAGGCAGCCGTGTGTGGCACAGGAAAGCCGAGGTCCTGCCTGGAAAAAAAAAAAAAAACCTTTCAGGGATACCATGATTGGAGAGAGGAGCAGTTAACAGGAAGAAAGGTGAAAGGGAATGATCAGAACATGTCCCAAAATCCAAGGGACAATGTCCCAGGGACAGGATGGTCAGCAGCATCAAATGTGGCCAAGAATGGGGGAAAGAGCTCAGATTCTGAGAACAAGGACTTAGTGACCATTAAGACCTAGTTATTCTGAGAACCTAGTGACCTTTAAGAGTTCTTCCAGGCGAGAGGGATGGGTGGGGAGGTCAGATGCAGGGCAGTAGCCTGTGGTGACAAAGCAGAGATGGCAGGCAGAGGCGGTTTGTTGGGGGCACGCTGACCAGCCACCTGGCTGGGGGCTGGGGAGGAGGCCTGCAGCCCCGCCTTCTCCTGGGCACAGATCCTGCAGCAGCTGCCGTGGGAGCCTGTGCGGTGGGACAGTGAGCATCCCCGGGCCAGTGAGGTAGGCCTGTCCCAGGGCCGGGGTGCTTCCTGCATGAGGCCACACCTGCATGTGTCAGCTGCCCGGTTCCCACTCTGGGCCAAGCAGAGTCCACCTGGGGGAGACCAAGAGGCGAGGTCTGTGAAAAACAGGCCCCAGAGATGTCTTGACGATGCCTTGGAGACCCACGTTTTCCATGCCCAGCAGCTGAAAGCCCCCTGGATGGGGAAGACAGCCCTCTATCCAGGCACTTGTGCAGAACTTGCATTTTCTAGTGTTTTGATGGTGGCTTCTTTCAAC